AAACGTATAAATCTTGAATAAACTGTCTGATGCTCTGCCTTGGAATTTATCCGATTCTTCAAAGAGAATTCAGGAAATCCTTCAAATTATACACGAACAGGATGTGATCGAGGTATAAAGCATGTCAGACCGTTTACTCGCATGCTCTTTGAAAATATGAAATAAATGATCCAGTCTGGGAGCCTAATATTACTGGAGTCTAATGTTATTGCCAACGATTGTCAAAGCCACCAGCCATCAAAAAATGTCTCAAAAAGATTTCAGGAAAATATAACACAAATGTTCGGGTCGACAATTTCCAAGAGGTCAAGCCACAGAATATATATAACAGAACTGAGAGTATTAACCCTCTCTGACCGAAGGGAGAAATGAGCCATACTGTGCTTTATATGGCCATACATCATCTTTGTCAAGTCCTGACAGCGTTTTATCAGATCTAACCTTTAGCAGCCTCTATTACGAGCGTTAACATGCTCAGCTCTGATACAAGAGCGCCGCAGAGAAAACCTCCGTCCGCTCTCATATTAAGATGCACATTCAATACAGACAATTAATGATGCACTGATATTAAAATCCTTGGCCAAAACCCAAAACTCGAACGAAAACAGAAACTGTTCATTTGGAATAGTCATCAACTCTATTCATTAATAATATTTCAATCCATTGGACTTCAGCTTGTATGACTTAATTATTTTAATAAACTGCAGAAACAGCCAGTTGCATGTTTGCTTTGACGAAAACACGTGCGTGCATTAGGTGAAACAGCCTGAACGACGCAGTTTTGTGCATGATTTTAGCTTAATTTATGATACCTCAATAATATGACAAATTGTATTCCTGACTTTAAATGTTACTGAAATGCACCTTTGATCCTCAGCACTTGGGATCACTGGAAATAACTGATTCAGATTCAGCAATAATGCGTTGTGTAATTTATCCTGTGATGAAATCAAATAATAGTCAGGATTTTATATATTTTTTTAAATCAAAACCCTGACAGTTTATTGAGACTTCGCACAAAATACTAAAAAAAAACTTGAATATGTGTTTTATGCTTTGTATCATAGTTAACACTTTCATGGCTCGTATAGTCTGATATAATGAGAATATGGAGGAAAAAACCTCTTGATTTTATTCAGAGACTCAAACTGAGCAAAAATATGAATTTGCTGCAGATGCTGATATTTATATGATGAAAGTCTGCTGCTTGTGATGTAAATCAGTGAGATGTTTATAACAGTACAGCAGATACGGACATAAAGTGATCTGAATATCAGTCGTCTCTATATCTGCAGTAATCTGTCTCAGTGAGATGAGAGTGAAATGCTCCAAAAATATAACGCAGTGATTGAGAGCTGAAGAAATAAAGGCTCCTCAGAAGATGTGAGATGTTCTGGAGGCTTGTGAAGATCATTCCTCCGCTGAGGAACAGTGAAAGTAAAGCTTCTGGAAACAAACGCTCCTCAAAAGATCCTGAGGATCAGATTTGAGACTCTAAAACATGATTGATGGAGAATCAAGTAAAGCTGAGCTGCTTCAGTCCAGTAAGTGTTCATCTGGAGATATTACTGCAGTTATTCTGACGCTTACTTGATTAAAATCACTCAAGATTTGACACGAGAAGCTCCAGCTGAAGCTGGACGTTTCTACAATTACACTAAAAGAGCTTTGACTGGATAAAACACTCTTAACTCTCAATCAGAGACAGAAGGTGTGGAGTTTGATCATGTTGATTATTCAGAGACATTAGAAATTCGACTATCAAATATGATACAGTAGCTTTATAATGTCACTGAAGCCAAAACGAATATGCGTGATGACAAATGAGATTTGAGGGCGAGAGTAAATGATGACAGAATGTTCATTTGTGTGTGAACTATTTCTTTCATATAAAACTCAAACAGCTCATGAAAGGACACCGTCGCTCCCAGCAGTCTCGCATGAAGAGTCGCATTTCATTACATGACACATTTAACCTCAGCCGCTTCCACTAAAACATACACAAGCCTTATTATGTGCTTAATATTCACTATCAGCTGAATAATTTTTAATGCAACTTATAGCCGAGTAGATGGATAACTCAATTATGCGCACATCCGTCACGGAGCCTGCCGAAGCCGGCTGAGATTGATGGGAAGGTGAAGCCGGCGGATCTTGAGCGTCAGATCGGTGAACAGTCTCTCTGCTTCGCTCTTTACAGGAGAAGCCTCATTACCCATGACTCCACTGACGAGAGTTTATTACGAGGTTAGCGTTTTGGCCACACTATTGTTTGGATGATGAATGCGGCTGCTGCGAGTTTTGGAGAGGAGATTAGTTGTGTTGTTTTTCACTTGGTTCTCAACACTTAAAGGAGAAGGAGGAATAATTAACGGCGCTTGCAAACGCTGCCATTTGGTGCAGACGACGGAAATGCTTGAACATAAGCAAATCAGGAGTTGTGTCACTCTCATGCGCCGCACTAATTAAAAACATGGCTGCGATGCTGGGAAGGTCACTGGAAAGGAAACTCGCTGACCTTTTCAATATTTCTCTCAAACTCATATAAACAGAGGAGATGAAGTAACGTGCGACGGCAAAGGGCCGGAGCTCCAGAGCACATGATTGTCTGAGTGAGAGGAGACGACGGGAAGGTGGACACGGGCGGTCCTTTGCTCCCAGAGCACTGCAAATGTCAAATGTAAATGTCAATTAAAAATTACAAGCAGCTCTGAAAGGTGCACTCTGAAGGGCCTGACATTTTTTTTTTGACATGCCAAAGTTTATCTGACAAGGCAGCGCACAAACATGACAGCATGTGACGCGTCACGTCTAAACACGCACACACGTGAGAAACGCTGAAGATGTGATCCATACGACTGTAATGGAGCCGCAGCGCATCAGATCAGATGGATAGAGTGACCTCTCGTGATGGATCGTAACAGACAAAAGGATGTTTTTATGCTTTCAGTCATATAGAAAGCATGTTCCATTCGTTTCGCCCAAGAGCTTAAAGAGTATTAGTCACATTGTGTGGTTAAACATGAACCTACTAGTAGAGACGGTTCAACTAGTCCACTGAATACAGTAGGTCTGTTTACATGGCATTTTAATTTTAAGTTAACCAATATGTTTGACTAAAAGCATAATTTAAAGTACTCTATATCACACACACACACACACACACATAGACAGACACACGCACGCACACACACACACACTCTCTCTCTCTCTCTCTCTCTCTCACACACACACACACACACATACTCACACACTCATTCACTTACACACACACACACACACTCTCTCTCTCTCTCTCTCTCTCTC